CACCCAAATCTTTAAGGTGTATTATCACCTATTTTTTATCTTCAAATGGTTAGGGCTTTTGAGCACTACAGATATTACCAGTTTGCCATTTTTTTTCACTGAATAATATGAAAGGCTTCATAAATGCACAATAAGATCTAGACAGTAGTAATCATAATTGTGGAGATACAGACATTTTTTCAGTGAATGAAGTTATTTTTAATCACTTGCGTAATGTTGTATCAATATATATTAAATAGAATCCATCCATCTTTCAACTTCTTATCTAATGTAGTGTCAGAGTGAACCTGACGCCTAACCCAGGAAACTTAGGGCACAAGACAATGGAACACCCCCGAAGGGACGTGAGACTAAAGCTAGCATGGAAAAAGCTAAAAATATATATTGAAGGGGGAAAAAATACACATTGTTTGTTTTTAGCAGTGTCTAGTCTTTAGCTAGAACATCATTCTGTTTGCCACCAGGTCCTTGAAGTATTAAGTAAATAACTTTTATAAGCCTGTAACAAAAGTTACAGTTAAGTGTCGGATGTCACTGTATGGATTTACAGACAGCCGGTATGTGCAGAACAGGAATGCGTGCTCCAGAGTCAAAGACATGAGCGAAGACAGGGGCTATATGAAATATACCCTGGAGTATTGTACACATACTCACAGGACCCTGACCGTACTGAGGTGTTACTAAAGCCTAGGGATTTAACGTACTTATACTGCTGTAAATTACCAAATGTCAATCTCCTCAGAAAAAGGCAAACAAGTCATGATGATTGACAGTAAATTAGAATGTATATGATTGAATTATGCACCCCAGACACAAATGCTACCATTATTGCCCATCTGTCTATAGCTAGTATATATGGTAATGCGTTATAGCCAAAGGGTTATATTATTTATCAATATTGGATTAATTTGAAAACTCATTATGTTTTTGAACAACATAAAGTTATTTATAATAAGATATGTGGTTGGAAAATTAATTTATTGTTTACATGCCTTTGGCTTCTGATGGGTGATATTTCAGTCACTTTGGTGTATAATGCAATTGTGATAGGTATAGTACATGTAAATGTGCAAAGGTGCATTGTTTCTATAACATGAGCAGCGCCTTAAGAGAGTCTTCAACAGTATGTTCCCTGCTCACGGACTGGAATCAGTTACAGTTATTATAAATAGTTTGCTGCTAGAATTATGCCACAGTCACTCTTGGTATCCCAGATATGAACACAATACCAGCGACTGATGTCTGCATGGCTGCAGTCATGTCATGTCTGAGATTTCCAAAAACAACAATCTACGATGGAGTATTCATTTTGGTACACATTCTAACAGTAATAAAGAAGAACAATCACATTAAAACAGACATGTAATAAACAATTCTATTATATTGTTGAATTGCATTAATGTCCAAAAAGAACCAAGTAAGAGCGTAAAATCTGTAGACTTAATCTAAAGGAGGTTTGGATTTTTTTTCTGGCAAGACAGAGCATATTGGAGGAAGAAACTAAGACATACCTGACAACAACTGTACATATATTTATTGCATGTATGAGAGAGAAGAAGTTGAAAGGTTGGAAAGAAACCATGACGATTTTGTCAAGAAATCTGCAAAGAACTGAATCCACTATTCCCTCTAGTGGCAGACTTTTGTTGCTGATGGTGCCATCTGGACAATGAAACCTGGGATATCAGTGATCCTAGCTGTAAAAAACTAAAAGAAAACAGTGGCAGCCAAAGCATATGTGGCACTCTAAATCAAGCTTCCGGGGTTGGTGACAGTAAATCTTGTCAACTGTGGAAAGTTGGCACCTCCACAGAACATGCCGCCCTCGTCAATTGTGCATCTTGGCCTTGCCAGAATCCACCGCTGAAAAAACCCCTGCAGTTACAGAGCTCCAGCTAAGTTTAATTTTGAGTCTGAAAAAAACTAATTTCCTATTTTATTACTGCACAGATAGAGATCTTAAACCAAATGGGAAGAACATTTGGGAAAATGTATCCCTATCTTCCTGAACTTCAACGTAAAGAAATTAAGATATTTCATTTATTTGCCTTGTTGCTATAATTAGGTTTTTCAGAACATTTCAGCAAAAAAAAAGAAAAGAAAACCTGATAATGGAAACCTACTTTTATAATTTTACACTAGAGAAGATTTTGACTGCTACTGCAACCCTCAGTTGCCTATTAGGGTTTGCGGTGATGCCGGATAATAATCCTAATTGGAGAGCATGATTCCATGCCAGATTTCCAGAGGAAAATACATTACAGATGTACAGTATGCTAATAAAGTTGACGCGAAAGGCCTACTCAAGCATCATGTCTGCAAAGCACCAACTCAAAAACAAGCCCATATTTCAGCAACACTGTGCAAATAATAAGATCGACAAATATATCAGTACCTCACAAATGCAAAGTGTGTTACTTATACAACACAAAGGAACTGAATAAACGCCATACTATGTGATGCTAATCCGTGTCAACAAAGAATAACATTTTCTATACATTCTGTTCAGCGATTACACTCACATTTTTGCTAAGAATAAACAATCCAAAATATATAAGAAGATACAGAGGAAAAATACAGACATGCATCTGACTGTAAAGCTACAAGAAAAACAACTCTTGTATTACTGTATCGTCACATCAATTGTATCTCATCTGCAATGTACAATAAAAGTCTGGGCTGAAATCTTGCGCATACCGAGATTCTGTACTGCGTAAGTGGTTATATAGGATGGATGAAATATACGATTTTTTACCCTAACGTCTTTATATGTAAAGCAGTCGTGACAATTAATTATGCTTTATTGAAAGAAATGCATATAGCCTTAGAGGCAGGACTTTTATTTTGTACAAAAAAAAAAATCACCCTTCAAACGGAAGTACTTCATAACCGAACGTCCGGTGGCGCGTACCATCGATTAGATGAACGGTGGGAAAAAATATTTATTAGGGTACCTTAAAATAGTATTCACGTTTATTGCGAGTAAGTAAAATTAATTTTCGCTTTTTTTCTTGTATTTCGAGATGTAGTTTTGTGGTAAGATTTTATACCAATTTGTATTCTGATATAATTTAATTGATCTGACACAGGGTTGCCAACTTTGGTCAGCTGGCTAGAGATTTTTAATTCGAGGCTAGTCTATACACACAAGCACAGGCGTTTAGATGTTTGTAACACTGTTATTACCTTGTAAATAGTTTGTTTATAAAGGAGTAATAATAATTTTCCGTAAGATTTCTTGCTTGCGAGTTTGAAAGCGTGTCACTGTTAACATGGGGAACTACAGCATTGAGTGGCAATATATAAAAAGCATGTAGGATACCTACACAGCCAAATTTTGACAGCAAAAAAAAAAACAGTAGTTGTACGGTTATGTGTTGCTGCCGCATTCACCCCACAAGCTATATCTTGCTATATGAATAACATTATTCTTTATGCACAGTTTCTCATGCTGGGTTAGGGTCACTAGTGGAGCATGCCCCTGTCCACTCAGTCTGACCAGGGTGATGGGCAGTACGTCCTGGTCGCAAGTTTGGACAATGTCAGGAACCTTTCCAACATCTTAAAAGCCATCGCCTTTAAGGATCATGCCCTATTTAACGCTACACCCAACGGGTTAAAGGTCACAGTGGAAGATTCCAAATGTTTGCAAGCCAACGCTTTCATACAGGTCGGTATTAAATCAACAAAATGGATCAGAATGAACGGCTGCCCATCGCTCTTGTTTTCAGAATCACTGACTGGAGAATTATATTACATGATTTATGTCTTTTACAGTCAGAAATTTTCCAAGAATTCACCATCCAGGAAGACTCAGTGAGTTTCCAGGTTAATCTGACAGTGCTTCTGGACTGTCTAACCATATTTGGAGGAAGTACTGTACCAGGTATATTTAAAAAATACAAAACCAGTATAACAACAAAATGCATACTCTCCTTGTACTAAATATATAACATTTACGTAAAAGGTTTTATATTTTTCCCCAGTTGTAGATGCTCTCATAAGGATCTTTTATCAGATTCTTTGTGTATTTGTATGTATTTTTTAATGTGCACTCAGTGGCCAGTTTATTAGGTAAACCTGCCTGTGAATGCAAACAGTCTGCTCCTGAAAACAGCAGGCTGCAAATGAATACATGTAGCACATAGATCAAGAGGTCTGGTTACTATTTGACTAAGCATTAAACCAGCTGAAATCTGTGTGATATAGCCTCTTTTTAATGCGGTGTTATTGTTGGTGCCAAAAATGTTGGTTTCAGCATCTTCCTGGGATTTTCAACGCTACAGTGTGTAGGATTTACAAAAAATGGTGCAATAAACAAATGGAAAAAAAATCATCAATCGGGCAGTTCTGTGGGCAAAACATCTTGTTAATGAGAGAGGTCAGAGAAGACTTAAGCTAGAGGTTTTGGAAGCATAACTGAGTCCTACTCAGTACTAAATAGGTGTACCTTATTAAGTGGCTACTGAGTGTATCTATTGAACAAAAGGTTTCAGCATTTTTAGTGTCAGGTTTGATTGTTCTTATTTTTTTGTATCAAAGGAGTCACGACTGCCCTGAGGCTGTGCTACAATGGCTATGGCTACCCATTGAAGCTGTTTCTTGAAGAGGGTGGTGTAGTTACTGTATGTAAAATCAACACACAGGAGCCCGAGGAACCAATAGATTTTGAGTTCTGCAGCACTAATGTCACCAACAAGGTGATCTTGCAGTCTGACAGCCTGAGAGAGGCCTTTTCTGAGTTGGACATGACAAGTGAAGTTCTCCAGATCACCATGTCTCCTAGTCAACCCTACTTCAGGTTATGCTTTTTTCTGTAGTAACCTCTGCTTTGTGTTATAGTTTTTGGACATTATTGTGTGTGTGTGTGTGTATGTGTGTGTGTGGAATTTTTCCTGACTACAGCTAACCAGTTTTGCAATGGGATGTTTCTGAGCATTGCACAGCTGAACTGAGTGGAATATGGTGTTTAAGAGCAAAATGATACTTACCCTGACCAAAGCAAATATCCTTTTTTTTTCACAGCGCAATTAAAAAATATAATTTTTCCAGGCAGTGTACTTAGCAATTACAGAACTTAGGTTGTACAGCTACAGTAGTATGTGAATTTAAAAAGTTTCATCTTTTTTTTTTATTTGTCATCTGTCTATAGACTTTCTACGTTTGGAAATTCAGGAAATGCTCACTATGACTATCCGAAGGACTCTGACATGATGGAGCTCTTTCAGTGCACAAAGACTCAGACAAACAGGTCAGTCACACATTTTTTCCTTATTAATAAAGGTAGATTTTTCTGTCACCAATCTAGTAACTACAACCATAACCATTTGCATGGTTTTAATAGCACTGTTATTCCACTTTCCAGATATAAAATGTCTCTCTTGAAACCCTCAACGAAGGCATTGGCTCTGTCCTGCAAAGTATCAGTACGGACAGATAGCCAAGGATTCCTGTCTCTGCAGTACTTGGTGAGAAATGATGATGGACAGATCTGCTTTGTGGAGTATTATTGCTGCCCAGATGAAGATGTTGAAGAAGAATAATCATTCGGTAAAGAATAGTTTGTCCTAATAATGAACAGATACATTTTTTCTTCTTGCATAATATTGCACATAGGATTTATATTGAAATATAACAAAAATTTAAAGGTTATATGTGTTAGATGAGGTCGTGCTATTTTTATGTCCTTGGAAATGTGTACGGACTTTCCAGAACAGCTATACGCTGCATTTCACTGCAATGTATATGTTTGTTGTATTCTGAAGTGTTTTTTAATAAAATCCAGAAAACATAAATTGGGCGTAGGTTCATTCATTTACAATTGAAAATTAGGTTTCCTGCTTAGTTTGCTTTAAACAAGAATTTTCGAAGACCATGCTAGGAGGAAAGAGAACGTAAAAACAAAACCGCAAAAAAAACTTTAAATGATGTGATGTTAAAAAAAAAATAGAATTCATAATTGAAATAACATTTAACGGTGCTCATAGGCAATGGTGTTGGAGAGAGATACTGGAGGGGGGTGGACAAAACTTAATTATTACAAAGGAGGGTCTATTTATTGGGGGTTCCCGCGGCCTCCAGGACGCTTGGTGGCGCATTCCTACGCACTGGGTCTTCATAAGTATCGCAACGTGCTGCTGTTTCCACCGTTCCACGTGAAGCGGTCTTTCAAGATGTCGCCGTTCAAGCGAAAACGTGGAGGAGGTAGCAGCGGTACAAAAGCTAAAAAAATAAGATTTATAGAAAAGGTAAATGAAAACACGTCTGAGGCAGAACAAAAGCAGGAAAATGAGTGCTACATCCCGGCACCGGTGTCAAAGGTAAGTGAATCGAACTGCTTAATGTGATGATCAGTGGACGTGTTTCAGGGTGTGGGTATTTACCAGTGTTTCTTCAAAGTTTATAATGTGACATTCATATTTTAGTGGTTTGCGCTCTCTCATGTGCAGTCAGATAGTTAACTACAGTTTTCATTTGTGGAAATTGAGGAAATGCTAGCTTGCAAGCATAATGTACTAACAAGCGTTTCACTATATATGTTTGGACATAGTTTCCCCCCCTCATTACGTTCTCCCATCTCCGAACAGTAATGCCTAAAAAACCCCGTGAGGCAATCACGTTTATGAAGGTCTGAAAGAAGCTTTGCGTAGCTACCTGAAAACATACATACATAACCACACGCACACATATATACATACATATATTAGTTATTCTTATCTTTGTCTAGTCTGATTTTACATTGTGAGCTGAAATAGATTATTATTTTTTATTAATATTGTTTATTCATGTTAATATCTCTCCCTTTTCGTTAATCAGGGAAAATGGAAAAACAAAGAGAGGGTGCTTGTGTTCTCTTCCCGTGGTATCAATTTCCGAACCCGGCACCTCATGCAGGACCTAAGGACCATGATGCCTCATTCCAAAGCAGGTAGCCTAGCCTGGTATGCATTGCCCGTAAGGCGTATGTCGTCTCAACCCTAGCCTGGTATGCATTGCCCGTAAGGCGTATGTCGTCTCAACCCTAGCCTGGTATGCATTGCCCGTAAGGCGTA